CAGGATTCGCTGCAACACAGTGCATGCGCTGTGTACAGGCCTATTGTATCATTAGAGGAGGGCCAGTATTACTTTATTACGTCATACGGACTTGGCCTATGCCAGAAAAAAAAGACAAAAGTGTAACGGTCGTTCACACGAAGGGGCGTAACCAAGGTATACGTCCTTTCGTGCGAATAGATTTGATACAACTTTGTATCAATTTTTTGCACACGAAAGGGCGCAAGCCTGCATACGCTGTTTCGTCTGATTCGGTCGCGTTGAGTGTTAGCGTACGCCCTTTTCGTTTTTTTACTGCTAGTACTGTTATTTTAAAGCTAGGTATACGCCGTTTCGTGTGAACATAGATCTGAGGCAGCGCTATCTACTAGTAGTAACAACTCAAAACTGCCAAAATCTGGAATACGCCCTTTCGTGTGACAGGCGACGAATTTTAGAAAATCCGGTGCGGAAGTCATATTTTGCGAGGCGCATTTTGTTTTGAGAGAATAGATCTAGATCTAGACCTTCTAATTTTTCGCATCTCTCAAGATTTATTTCTCCATTCCAGTAGAGTGTAAATATAGAAGGCCAATGACTTTCAGTTGATGTTAATGCACCGATCATTCCTTTCATCGAAAGGGGGGCCCAGCTAGTAACATATAAGACTTAACCCCCTGTCCCATAACACAGGGCTACATAAGTTATGACTTAACCCTCCACCCTCATAAAAACTCCTTGGATTTGTTCCACAAAAAAATTCAGCCAGGTGAAGAGCAGATTCTAGTAGGTGCAAAAATGGGGGAAAAAATCAATAATAGATGTGCTGCAGCGTGCTTCCAGTTCGGTATTTTGCAACTTGCAACACGCCTCGTGCTAGGCCTAGCTTTGTCGAGCCTACTTGCCCGACTTCATCTAAGAAAAAATCCCAGACAACACCAAAAGTTCGAAAATCTGGCTAACATAATGAAGAGTAATCCTAAATATGCCTAAAAGGTGTTTTTCGTAAACAAAAGCAGAGCCCCCACAGAAAATTGTTCCAGGTGTCGTGCTGCTTACAACCACACAGGTGTTCTACAACACCCACTGGCGACCGTCTGCTTAGAACCACCCACCGGCCACCCCTCCGCTTACAACCACCCACCGGCCACCCCTCTGCTTACAACCACCCACTGGCCACCCCTCTGCTTACCCGAGGCCTGGGATCCGGTCTGTCTGTCCCGACGTGCCACACAGGATGTTTCTGTGTGAGATCAACACACCTGTACACACAGAACACAGCAGGTTAAACAACACAGCAGGTTAAACAACACACATGTATACACAGAACAACACAGCAGGTTAAACAACACAGAAGGTTAAACAACACACCTGTACACACAGAACAACACAGCAGGTTAAACAACACACATGTACACACAGAACAACACAGCAGGTTAAACAACACAGCAGGTTAAACAACACACATGTACACACAGAACAACACAGCAGGTTAAACAACACAGCAGGTTAAACAACACACCTGTTCACACAGAACAACACAGCAGGTTAAACAACACAGAAGGTTAAACAACACAGAGGGTTAAACAACACACCTATACACACAGAACAACACAGCAGGTTGATTAAGTTTTGGTTGTAGTAAGAGTTCTATGGCACTTGCAACACAATAAGGCAAGGTCACATAAGTGCCGGAGATTACAGATTATTCTACACACATAGACACATGACACAGAGAAACACAGATTACTCTACACACATAGACACATGACACAGAGAAACACAGATTATTCTACACACATAGACACATGACACAGAGAAACACAGATTATTCTACACACATAGACACATGACACAGAGACACACAGATTATTCTACACACATAGACACACGACACAGAGACACACAGATGGTTCAACACACAAGGAAAAGGACACACAGATGTACACATATGGACAATTGACACAAAGATGTACACACATGGACAAATGACACACAGATGCACACACATGGACAAATGACACACAGATGGTAGTACGCACATGGCACACAGATTGTAGTACACACATTACACACAGATGGTAGTACACACATTACACACATATGGTTGTACACATGACACACAGATGGTTGTACACACATGACACATAGATGGTAGTACACACATGACACACAGATGGTTGTACACACATGACACACTGATGGTTGTACACAAATGACACACTGATGATACACTGATGGTTGTACACATATGACACACTGATGACACACAGATGGTTGTACACACATGACATACTGATGACACACAGATGGTAGTACACACATGACACACAGATGGTAGTACACACATGACACACAGATGGTTGTACACACATGACACAGATGGTTGTACACACATGACACACAGATGGTTGTACACATTACACACTGATGGTTGTACACATATGACACACTGATGACACACAGATGGTTGTACACACATGACATACTGATGACACACACATGACATACTGATGACACACAGATGGTAGTACACACATGACACACAGATGGTAGTACACACATGACACACAGATGGTAGTACACACATGACACACAGATGGTTGTACACACATGACACACAGATGGTTGTACACACAAGACACACAGATGGTTGTCCCCACCTTTGGGCAGTCCGGTGGACCCACTAGTGTACATGATCACTGCTATGTCGTCCGTCCGAGGGCGGCTGACAGCGCCGTTCTTGCTCTCTGCAACACAACAAAGGGACAGGGCACTGTGAACACACTGACAAAACAGGCTGTCGTACACACACAAACAACACAACAACAGGACACAGCACTGTGAACACACTGACAAAACAGGCTGTCGCACACACACACACACACATACACACAAACAAGACTGTGAACACACAGGCAAAACAGGCTGTCGCACACACACAAACAACGCAACAACAGGACACAGCACTGTGAACACATTGACAAAATAGTCACACACACAAACAAGACTGTGAACACACTGACAAAACATTCTCAAGCACACGTTCAAATCTATCATTTACAAACCTGTGGATTCTGAATGTTACACTTTATGCACGTTACATTGTAGCTTAACGTATGTTATCTCTATATATTATATTTGTGAAAGTTCGTCACTTTGGCCTCCTAAAACTGTCGAATTTGACAAAATTATTGGTGGTTCAGAATCATTTAAAGGGTGCAGTTTTATTGAGGAGCCTGAGGTCACTGTCGTTTAATTTTTAATTTTCCGTTAGTTTCCTTTAGATCTATTCTTGGGAAAGTCTGGTCTTCTAAAACGCCATCGTAAACAAGCGAAGTTTCCGTTCATTAGCAGTGTGCACTGATTCCACACCTTTGAAATTCTGGAGTGTACAACCACGAAGGCCGAATAGAGAACCAATCTATACATGAATTATATATTTGGCAACTTAGAAACAAATGTGTCACTCTTCCCATAAAACTATGACAGCTACAGAGTTGAAAGTTGGCAAGTACCTGCAAAAAGATAGATAGGTCCCCATGACAGAGCCCAATTTTTGATTTATTCATATCCTGAATTTAGAAAAAATATATTTGATAAAAAGTTCCCGTCCCTCTTTGGCTTTTGTGATTATTCCACCGAGAAACTAAACAAATCTGCGTAGCTGTCCCTCACAGCGGAAGTGTCCAAAGTGATATTTCGCAAGGCGCATTTTGTTTTTTGAAAGTACAGATCTAGACCTTCTAATTTTTTAGATCTCTCAAGATTTATTGCTCCATTCCAGTAGAGGGTTAATATAGTAGGCCAATAACTTTCAGTTGATGTTAATGCACCCATCATTCCTTTCATCGTAAGGGGGCCCAGCTAGTATTGTATGTTTATGTACGTTACATCTCTGGATCGGAAAAGTATGTACGTTACATTGTAAATTGTATGTTTCTGTATGTTACATTGTATGTTTCTGTTACTTTGTATGTTTCTGTATGTTACATTGTATGTTTCTGTATGTTACATTGTATGTTTCTGTATGTTACATTGTATGTTTATATATGTTACATTGTATGTTTATATATGTTACATTGTATGTTTATGTTACATTATATGTTTCTGTATGTTATACTGTACATTTCTGTATTTTGTTTCTGTATGTTACATTGTATGTCTCTGTATGTTACATTGTATGCTTCTGTTACATTGTATGTCTCTGTATGTTACATTGAATGTTTCTGTATGTTACATTGTATGCTTCTGTATGTTACATTGTATGTTTCTGTATGTTACATTGTATGTTTCTGTATGTTACATTG